ACATTTGATGATAGGGAAGCTGTGTTTCCAAAAAAATTATAAATAAAGCTCATCATTGGAAGCATTATACGATATTTTGATGTGTAGCATCCAACAGCTAAACCGTGTGAGGTTGGTTCTCTGTAAAGCGTATGCGCGAGTGCCCGTAATATGGCTGCTTTACACTAGTGTTTTTCAACCTTCTTGAATACGCGACCCCTGTACAAGTTAAAAAATTCTGGCGACCCCACCACGGCCATATTAAAACTATGTCAGTGATTTTAAAAACTACTGTAGGTATTTAATTTTCTTTCTGTTGAGATTTAAATATCGATAAAAAAACCAATTGTACTGTAAAATAAACAGGTACAGTAGACCCCCCCTATAACGCTTAGATGCGTTCCACGTTAATCGAATTTTACGTTGTAAGAATGATTATGAGCCAATCGCAGTCCGATAGGTGTGAAGTTTACGGACTAAGGCTGTTTGAAAGGTGTTCTATAAAATTAACCGATTCTAGACTAATTCCACTCAACATTTCCAAAACACGTATATTTTTTTGGGAATAATCCGTATAAACTATGCTATAAACAAAAAATTATAGGATTACTTACCGAGTGTGCACCGTTCGACTACGCCGTTGCTCAAAGCTTGTTTTTGACGCGGAACAGCGCACGAAACGGCGGCCGCGATTTCTGATAACGAATTTTTCGCAGAAAAATAACTTGACCTTTGGAGACATTATTAATATAAATACTTTTAATGGCCGTTGAATAAGAAATGTTTCTTTCACAAGAAATGTATAAAATTAGTGCTGTATTAGACTTACGGTACCTAATTTACATACTGTACAGACGATAATAAACTCAACTTACTAGCCTAAAATCTCCGTAGCGTGTTGCCAGGCGGCAGAAAGCATATATATAATTATAATAAAGTTACAATAAATTAAATTAATATATAATTATATATACAGTACCTAATTTATATATAATTAATATATAATTATATGTACAGTACCTAATTTGTATATAATTATATGTACAGACGAAACTAAACTCAATTTACCCGCCTAAACGTCCGTAGCGTAGCGCTACGGACGGCGGGAAAGTAGTTCGGCTGCCCGATGACGTTTTACGTAATTATAGGAGTTTTTTTACCGTTGTGTACGGATATCGCCACAATTTTTTCGCCGTCTTATAGGAATCGTAACTATAGGAAACAGTTTTATAGGGGATCTACTGTAATTATATGTACGGTACCTAATTTATATATAATACTGTACAGACAATAGTAAACTCAATTTACCCGCCTAAAGTTTCGTTAGTATGGCGCTGGACGGCGGAAAATAGTTCGGCTGCCTGATGACGTTTTACCGAATTATAGGAGTTTTTTTTTTACCACGTTTGTACGGATACCGTCGCAATTTTTTCGCCGTCATATAGGAATCCGAACTATAGGAACCTGTGTTATAGGGGGGTCGAATGTAATTCAAAGTACGTTAAAATATGAAAATAATCGCATAATATGTATTTATAATAATTCTGGAAAATATAAGGGAAGCGGCACTTCCACAGCTTCCATGGACGGCATGCCACTGGCTTGAGGTATGGCAAACGGGATGGCCACGTGGAGTTTTCTGGGTTTTCTCAGTGGCGTAACGTAATGGTGGCGGCAGGGACGGCCTGCCTCGGGCGGCACTTTTAGGAGGCGGCAAAATTTCACAATAAATAAAGTAGAGCGTCGTTTATCCGAATCAATCGGGGACTGGGGTTGTTCGGATAACCGATTATGTAAGAAAAAATTCATTAACCTATCCCATGTTGAAATTTTTCTCCGTTGCGTGTCGCTTCGCGTTGAATTCTCGTCGATGTTAAGCATAATGTAAACTTTTCAACATAATAATCGTGGCTATTGTATCGTTAAAAATTATTTCTTTATTTTTTACAAACAAAATTAATATATTGAAAAATATAAAAACAAAAAAGTTATACTTTAGAAGTTAATCTAGTATCAAAACGTTCGATTCAGCATGACACACAGTCCTGAAAAAAACACCACACAAAAGTGCCAGTGCTGCCAGCTAAAAAACTCACATCAAGAAAAAAATATTGGAGTAGCCCAAGATATAGCCAAAGATTGCAGCGCCACAGCCCTAGCGAAAATTTAAATTTGCCGACTAGAATTCTTTCGGTTAACAGATGTTCCGGATAACCGACTTTCGGATAAACGACGCTCTACTGTTATAATAGTATCTTGTAAAAATTTGAACCATTTTATTTCATATTTTCGTCGCACCTACGATTTGGACCGATTAAAATGAGCACGGAATAGTGTTACCACCTGGACAGTCCGGGATCGACTCACTGTCTGGGTGAACTGTTAATTTTTCCCCCGGCAATACCGTGCGCAACCTGTCGACCTTTTTTTTGGTTGTTTTTTGCTTGTACATCTTTGATATACAACAGAGCTATTTCATCTAGGTTTCTTACGTTACTCCACCCAAATCTCCCTAGTCCCTAACTGTACCTGATTTAGAACCGGCATGCACTGCATATTATTCTTTGCATTGTAAAATGACATTAACGCATGCCTCAGGAACTTCTGTTCGAAGAAACCTCACCTGCCCTCCGGGTCAGCGATTTTAAAAAGGTGGCAACACTAGAACGGAATTTTTCATTACTTATTCTGCGACGAAACTGAATTTTAGTCTTTTAAATTGAGATACTTAAATAAGGAGGCGGCGAAATTTTCCTTTGCCCCGGGCGGCTGACACCCACGTTACGCCACTGGGTTTTCTTCACGTAAATGGGGTCCATCTTCCCATTAAAACATTGTGACATCGTCACAATGCGGGGCTGTAACTTTTAGTCACAATGTTCTCAATTTTAATACTTTCCTGTTAGCAATAGAGTTGTGCGAATTATCTATTTAACTTCGTTGAGAGGAAAATTTTGAATTGAAGTAACGTAATATCAATTCCAAATCTGAAGATCCTATATAATTATCCTCTTGATGTATAATTTTTGTTCAGGAGTTTTTAATTAAAGAACATAAGTATGATGTCAGAAAAAGGCTCCAACACAATGGTACTTTCCCAGTTCGCGCAGACCCAAGGCTCGATAATGAAATGGGATGAAGCGGGTATTGGCAAACCCTTGCGCTCCCCAACGCTAGCAAATACCGCTGAAAAAAAATTGAAATTTACAAGAGCAAACTGGAAGAGGCATGCATAAATGCAAGAGACGCAGAAAGTCTACCAACGGCGTCGAATTTCATAGTCAAAAAATTTAACACAAACTTGTAGTCTTGCCTTCGTTCATCAATTATTCCTTACAATTTACTGCAATGTTTATTTAAACTATTAACTAGTGCATTTATTTTTATTTATTATTTTCTATTACTAGGTCTGACTTTGTATTTGTATTATTTTTTCAGTTATTTTCTTGTTTTTTCCGTTATTATTTTTTGTATTTAAATTTACGTATTCTATTTAATGGAACGCCAATGTTATTTTTCTATCGTTAAGCCCGAGGATGGCCTATAGAGTAGGCCGAAATCTACCTTTATTTTCGATAAAACTATCTCGATAAACAAAAAGGCATAGTTGATAACCCAACAGTAATCATTGAAATTGTAGCTTAAGGTTCCATATGGCGTGAGAAAGGAGGACATAGCCTCCAAAGCGTTCTTTTATTGGACGTCATATGGTGAATATCCCCAGGCCCGTCTTTAGATGTGGGCCTACCGGGCCTGGGCCCAGGGGCCTCCTAACATTCGAGACCTCGAAAATAAGCAAAATTGAATAGAGCAACAAGTAATAAAATTATTATAAACAGTAAACAATCAAAAGATATGTTTGATAAATTTTATTAAACATAAATATAACAATATGTTTAGCAGAGAAAGCTAATTGAAAAATTTATGAACATTAATTAACTCTCCATTACGAATTTCTTAAGGGGCCTCCAAGCTTTTCTTGGCTCAGGGCCTTGCACGTACCAAAGACGGGTCTGTATACCCCATTCAGGGGCGCCTATAGTTGGGGCACGTGCCCCCTTTTCGTCTCGGTATTCCTAATCCCTAAGAAGTCCCCAAATAACAGAAAATTCGTGACTTCTAGCACATTCTGCAAATATAAAAGAGACTAATGAACAATATTTGCCCAGTTTTCCATGCAACTTGTATGTTGATCAAATCCTCATTTCTTGTTTTTAAGGCCATGTTAGCTACGAGTGCAACCAGCACCACCTTGTGGAAGCGCTGATCCGACGCTGAATCGTGGAGTTAGAAGCTCCTTGCCTTATATACGATGCCCTTTTTTTAAATAGCTTGTGCCCCTTTTTCATAATCTGCAGACACCTCTGCCCCCACTCCGAATTTAAGGAATATCTTTCCTCTAATCAAACATGCCCATAATGCCCTTCCAGAACAATTTATTTTCCATTAATAGTTTTTCATATGGTCAACGCGAGACAATCCCATCCTCGCGTTGACAAATGATTCGGATTGAAATGAAAACTGGTATCTATACAACCGAAAATTGAATGTTTAACCGATTTATTATTTTGTCGTTACGGTTAAAAATTGAAATTTCTACTCTCTTTTCAATATATAAAGGTGATATATTTAGACTCAATTTTGCCCATCACATATCGATTTGACCTACAATTAGGAACGATTATTAAAATTATATATTAAAAATTTTCTATTTAAATACGAGAAATAAATACAGTACACGAAACTTATAATATATTTTTATTTCTATAAAAAAAATATTATATTATACGAAATAATAATAAACAAATAAATTCTGTACATGATTCGTAAGAAGAGAAAAAAACAAACAAACAAACAAAACAAAACAAAAAGGAATAAAAATGAAAGTGGAGCTGCAATCGTTTTGCTCTTCTAATTCTCTGCAGAAAATTTTTAATCTTGTATAAGGAATTAAAAACATAAATTAAAAATTAATCGTGAACAAAACAAATTCTAATTACGCTTTTATACAAATGTATTTAATATATAAATTAATGGAAATATACAGAAAAATATTAAATATAATGTAGGAATTATTTAAGGTAAGAAAAAGTACAAGAATTTGTTTTTATCAAACATTTTTGACAAGTAGCATTTATTTATAATTGCTAAATACACTTTAGTTCTTATTTAACGTATAAATCACGCTCATGACTAATTTAGCTTGGTTTTTCTTATTGTAAACATATAATGTGAAGCATACCGTTATTTTCATTTTCGTTTAATATTTCTGGTGTATTTCAAGGATAAATTGAAGATTAAAAATATATAAAAGCAGAAAATATGCTCTTATGTATTTTTAATAATAATGGTTTGTTTAATAAAAATTTTGTAAAATTTAATAAAAGTAATGTAAAATATTGTAATAATAAAAGAAAAGAAAGAAGTAAATTTAATAAACAAATTTCGTTTCAAATTTAAGTTATAAACGCATAGTATTTTTCTGTAACTCATGTCAGAAATCTATATAAAATTTCTTATTCCATTTAAATAGGAAGGAGGAGAAGAATTCTTGATGTAAATAATAGCAGAAATGCATACAGTAATTTCATTTATTTTAGTAGAAAATTATACATTTCAGACTAAAATAATATTCTAATAAATTTAAATATCTTATAAATTCTTTTAATAAATAAAATTGAGGTATAAATTATAATTTTAAAAAATAGTCAGCCAAATAAAATGTATTTGAATTCAGTAACTGTGCTAAAAAATTTAGAAAGGTATTCTCAATGATAATTTTAAAAAATAATAATCTAAATTCAAAATATTAGATTAAATCATGAATTAGATTTAAATTATATAAATAATGGAACACTTAACAGAAACACTTATTTGCTTTTATGTTTATTTTTTAATATTAATCTGGTGTCTTTTTAATATGATGAAAAATTATTGTTGAAAAGTGCGGTACCTAACTGGAGAAAAATGTCAATGCAAATAAAATTGACTTTCGTAATTCCGAGGCATATTTCTTAACCCGGCGCTCCTCGAGGTAATTTGTAATGTCTTACTCGAGGGTGAGGGTGAGGGTGAGTGTTGCGCTCTCCCTGTATATTTTCATATTCTAAATGATTTGTCTTGAGAAATTTTACTAAGATTGGGAAGTTATGTTATGAATAATACACATTTCAATGTTTATTTCACTTTACTTCAGTTAGAATAAATTAAAAGTAATTTCGATATAGAAACAGAAAATTGATACCTAATCAGAGTGATCAGATTTATAAAAACAGAAATACCATATCTGAAATTATTGTTAAACTTAATTATAATTTCTATTCAAGTTCTGAATCTGTTTAGTCTGGATTTTCTGTATACCTTTCTAGTATTAATTGCATCGGAAAAATAAACGGATTCGTCCATGTCTAATACCTCTATTCAATAAACACGATCTAAAGCAAATTGAAAACTCCACCGGTCCTATACATCTTGCTAATTACTACAGTATGCTTTTGTACTGGAAATTCGTTGATTTCCATACGCATTTCATCTAACCTTGATTCCGTAAAACCCATGAAAGAGTAAAATTCCATATAATCACTCAAGACAAATAAGAAGTTTTTCCTGCAGACTTGAATGATCCAGAGTCATTATTAGAAGTTACTATCATACATTTTGTATTAATAAAAGGAAAGTTCCTATTAATTTATCATTAACTAATTATATATCTATATTTCCAATTCCAATTGACCAATTCTAATTTCATGGGTTTATAATTATAACAGTTAAGTATCTGAGTCATCATTTGAATCCCTCAGTATTAGTTCTAAGAACTTAAGTCAATTCCTTCCTAAAAATTATTTAGTTGTATCACTTTATCTAAATTGGTATCATACGTGAATATTTTTAAATCTTGGATATAATAATTATCTCTAATAATTAACTTGCTTTCTTTTAATTTTTCTTGTTTAATTATAGTTTGTAGCTTTTTCCTTATTAATCTGGATCTTTTGCGTAAGTTAACTATAAAAATTATTTTTCTCGTTTCTTCACTATTAGTTTTAGCTTTTAATTTCCAAAATTCTTTTAACATCAAATTTCTATTGTACAAGGAATCCAATGCAATCCTCATAATAGGGTTAGTTCCATCATTATTACCTGGTTATGCTTTTTAAAGAGCTATTTTTAATTCTCAAATCCTCCTTAATGAACTGATTGATTTCTCTGACATAATTGGTTGAAATAAATAGAAAATTAATAACTATAATATTTTTATTCATTTTCTCATTTGTTAACTTATCTAACTCAAGTTCAAACATACCTTTTAAAAAGCTATTTTTTGTGGATAATGCATCTATTTCTTTCATTTTCTGTGACAAATTCACTAGTTCTCCTTGAAAATGCTTATTTTCTTCCGGCGTAGCCATCTTCAATATACTGTATTTCAAAAAACTGGTTATTTAATTTTAATTATATCCGACTCATCAAATAAACCATATCCAGTTCATAAGCCAGCAGAAAACGAAAGACGAAACGTTCGTAGAAAGAATTTTTTCTGCTGGCTTATGAACTGGATATGGTTTATTTAGTGAGTCGGATATAATTATTTTCTTCCTTCATTAAATTAAGTTCTGTCTTGATTCCCTGTATTTCTCTACTAAGCTGTGAAAAGTTATTTTGTATAAGTTCATATATTGATTTAAGTGTGTATTGTGATTCTTCCTGTACCAGGGGATCCTTATCCCTTAATGCTTCAAAGTATTCAGGTATTTTCGTAAATCTTGTAGTTTCGAAACTATCTCTGTTGGAATCCTCTTCAATTGGAAAGTATTCTTCATTCACTTGATTTTCTTTGACTGCTTCTTTAAAATTTTTCTTTCATGGCCTACCACACCCCCTCTTTTGCATGTCTATTTGACTCAAATGTTGGGAAGAACAGGAAAGAGGACCTGGATTAGGTTCTATTCAAGCAATTAATAATAGGCATATGATTAATTCCAAGATTAATCTATTAACAAATAACCACGACCTTAAATCTAGCAAAATCCAATTACTGATAATTCCTGGTATGTAATTACACTGTTTTTTTTTTTTATTTGTGGTTTTAGGCCCCTTATCGCTCATAGAGCACAAAGAGGCCAAGAATGTTATGTTAAGAAGAGTGGTCTGGGGTTAGTGTCCCTAAATGGGCTCATAGAAGTCCCAAGTAGGGCTCATAAAATCTAGTCCATTGTGAGGGCTCATAAAGTTACGTGTTATTTGTTATGTTTAAATTTTATTTTGTTTGTTATGTTTTGTGTCGTGCTTTATTAACTTACCTAGTTTTATGATGACCAAGGAGAATGGAAAGATTGATAGAAAAGTTGCAGTATGAAACCCATCCCCACCTAACCTAAGGTCTTTTGGATGATTCAAAGTGGTTGAAATAGAGAGTCCACAGTGAAGTATCCAGTGATAAATATTTCCAGCAAAATTTGGAATAAAGAATTTTGAAGGACCTAATATCACTGTTGGTATTAGCTATAGCCTTCCGGGAGGACTGTAAATCTAATTACACTGTTGTTAAGCTGCACTGAAAAGTTCACCAACACCTTCAACCATGGATGTAGATATAGATGATAATATATTATACTGCTTAACTGCATGGACTGGGATGAATATAAACAGTGTGACTCACATTAACCAGTTATTTAAACATCTTAAGGGGAATGCATGTGCTTATGATATCTGAAATCTATTATTATTTGATTTATATTAGAATGTTAACTGCCAGCTTGTTTTGAATAAAAAAGAAGCCTGAGGAAGTGCCCAGAAAGGGCTACGAAAACATTTGCAAGTTTTGATCGTATGCACACCAGTCAACTGGTTAATATGACTCACACTGTTTATATATTATATTGCATTTGTAGGCATTTTTATGCATGGAATATAGCTAAGAAAGTAAAAAACAGTTTTGTTTTGGGAGTTGAAAATGGATTAATTCATTTTATATTGTTTCTTATGGGAAAATTTGTTTTGGTTTGAGAACAAATCAGTTTTTGAACAATTTTTAGAAATGAATTAAGTTCGAAACCCAAGATTTGAGACTGTACTCAAAAAATTTTTAAATATTTTTTTAACATAACTTTAATAATAATAAAGCAAGTCATATACAGTGGGTGATTGGGAGTTGAAAATGGATTAATTCATTTTATATTGTTTCTTATGGGAAAATTTGTTTTGGTTTGAGAACAAATCAGTTTTTGAACAATTTTTAGAAATGAATTAAGTTCGAAACCCAAGATTTGAGACTGTACTCAAAAAATTTTTAAATATTTTTTTAACATAACTTTAATAATAATAAAGCAAGTCATATACAGTGGGTGATTGGTTAATGAACAAATCGGATAACGAACACTTTCGCGAAAGATTTTTATGTTCGGACAACGAACATATGATCGGATAACGAACACCGCACAGAACGAACCCAAGAAGAAGCAACATAAAATAATGAATACTGATTGGTCTTCTCTTGTCTTCAGGCAATAATTTGAAACTTTTCGAAGTGTGGGAGATGTCGACATTGACACTCGAGCTGGTATATACCGATCGGATAGTATTCCTCCGAACTTTGAAACTCCCTTGTAATTCCAGCCTTTTATTTTTCTGACAAAACAATTCTTTTATATATTCACGAGACTGTCGGGCGTGCACTCATTAAGTTTTGCGTCTGTTTTTCTTTTCGAAAGATGAGAATATAATAGCAAAGGTAGAGAGTGGGCAGAAGATGCCTAATGTTTCTGGGCAATATGGCGTGAACAGGTCTACAGTAGGCCGCAGTTTAATCTTATTTAAGAAAAATACTGTATAATCAAGAAGACTCAAGCAGCTAAAGGAATAACAAAAATCACATATGAGAAATAAAGAACATCGAAGAGTTCATAATGGAACCTGAAACGGATCTGACGACAGAAGAACGCCAAGAACTCTTGAATGAAAAACACCAAGAAACTCGGTGAGATATGTTTTCTTCTGAAAAAGAGGATTAATGCCGATATTTGCTATTAAAGATCTTTTGAAGAAGTGGGAAGATGTCAGAACAACGGTCTTAGAATGGCATCCAAACCAGGTTGAGGCTTGGGGATTTCTACAATTGCAATGCTATTAATTACTTACGAAAAATCCTGAAGAAGAGAAAAAAGCAATCGATATTAGACAGATTTTTTAACACTTTCAAACGGAAAAAAACATGACTAATAAAAACACAAGACTGTGCATGTATGTATTTTTATTATTACATATAAATAAACGTAGTAAGAAAGTATATATATTTTTTTTATTTTTGGGGGTCTCCGAAACGAATTAATTAAATTCCCATTAAAACCTATGGTAAATAGATAATCGGTTAACGAACAATTCGGATAGCAAACAAAGTCTTGGAACGGATTATGTTCATTAACTGATCAACCACTGTAGTAATGTTTTATACAAATTTTTAACATAGCTTGAAAAATAGTTATATTAAATTTGATGAATGATTTCTTAAAATATAAGATGAATATTTTTGATTATTTGAGATATTTCTCATATCACATCAGATCAAATATTTAACAATAAATAGATACATATGCAGAACATATTAATACTTTTGAATAACTTTTAAGCAGAACAAACTTTACATAATTTTGTTCTTTCTGTTTCACTTTAAAATTTTTATATAATAAAATATCAAAACATTTTGAATAATGTTTAATTAGAATAAACGAGGTTTGATTAATTGCACTATGTAGGGTTACTTTTGTTTCAAGATTTTGAATTCACAATTATATGATGAAAAACAGTTATTCTTATTAATTTGTTCATTTATTTGTAGAGTTTCGTTTCATCACTAACCAAATCCAGAAATCAAACTCTATCTCAGAATCTGTGAGAGAGGCAGATTTGACTTCTCTCTCGTAAATAAAAAAAATATATATATTACAAAAAATGCTACCATCATGGTACATAATCTTTAACAATGTAAATCAATGGATTATTTAATAAAAACAATGATATTATTATATTCTAAATTCCAAAAAATGGTTATCAAACAACACAATGGCAAGTAATAAATTTAACAATGTATTAATAATCAAAATTTCTATGGTTAAGAGAATCCAAAAATATTACAAAATATCCAATGGCAAAAATTAGTACATAAACAAGAGTAATCAATTCTGAGTTACTCTTCTCCCTAACAGTGCTAGACAAATCTTTTCTCTTGAAAATACCTTTTCGGACACCAATCATGTTTGTTAGTGTTGAGTTTACACATCAGCTGTTTGTCTGGTAGTGAAATCCAGGAGAAAATATTAGGAAATTGATGCAACTTTTTACTACAGTGTTAGACTTAAAAATAAAATTTTTGGAAGTGCAATGTACACCAAAACAATCTACACATAATGTTTTTTGAACTCTGGAGCCACTTCAAGTCTGAATAATCAGTCACCATGGTAGTTCTGTCAGGATAGGTCTAAAATTTTCACTTGCCCATACCAGAGTAAGACACTCCAGTTCAGTCATGGTGCAGTTTTTTTGTGGCAAGTGTAGATAGTATACCAGCTTTGTTCCCAATTTTGCCACCATTGCCAAGCCACTATATCAGCTATGCAGGAAAGAGACAAAGCAGCACTGGTTTGACAAATGCCAGTATGCCTTCGTAAATAAAAAAAAATCATTAACTTCTATATCTATTTTATAGCTACCTTAATCTAGCAAGTGAAGCTTGCTAGACCAAGTTTTGTTGGTCTGGGAACTCTATTTAGTCAAGACAGAACCATAGCATATATAATTCACACCCTGAGCCAGGCTAAGCAAAACTACACCATGACTAAACTGGAATGCCAAGTTGTGGTATGACATTGATGATTGAAAAATTTTGGGACCTACCTAGATGGAACCAATTTTACCATAGTATCAGACCATTCAGCCTTGATGCCACTTTGAGTTCGAAAAAAAGATTTAGGTAGATTGTACTTATAGAATTTCATTTTTCAGTCCATCACCATAGTGGAAAGTTGATCAATGCACTCTCCTGGACCCCATTACCAGAGGAATAGCTGACACCTGAATTTGATACTGATAACCTTTACAAATGCAATATTAAATTAAAAAAGGTACTTTAAAAAATAACAATTACGGATACAATTCAACCAAAAAGTAAATCTTACAGTTAACTAGATTATATCATTTAATTTTTATTGTCAACAATGCTAAATATTAGTCATGATATAACAAAAAGATTTTTAACACACTAAAAATAAAAAATTTTTAGTTAAAAAACAAGTAAAAATTATACTCTTTCTATTTCCAATTTCGAGGATAAAAAGATTTTTATTTATTACTAGTGTTGTAACGAATATTCGGTTACTATTCGGTATTTGGCCTATTCGGCCTATTTTTCACTATTCGGCTGAATACCGAATATTTAATCACTATTCAGCCGAATACCAAATACCTAAAAACAGGAGTAATAAATAACAAAAACACAGTAAATTAATCATTTTGATATTTAGATTTAATGTTATCGAGTTAGTGTTGTTTGTTTATATTTATTTATAACTTGTAACATGCACAAAATAAAAAAGAAAATAATATTAGTCACATGTATTCACAATTTATAATTACAAAGATCAGCACACGTACATGTCTATCGTTGGAGAATCCTCGCACATCTGAGGGTCTGACCCTGCCTATCCTTCTTTTTAAGCGCTCGTCTTTGCTCTTCCCTTTCTCTTTCCTCTATCGCTCTAATCCATGTATGCCTGTGCATACATCATAATACGCGCTCACGATACTTTCGATTCGTCACTTTTCCGTCGTAGAGTTCCCATTTTACAATTACGTGACTCAGCCTGGTGATAACGGAGAAAAGAGACAGATAGGACGTCGATATAAGTCACAGTTATGATTTCACAGATTCGAGACAGCTTGATAGCCCGAACGGCCCCAGGCTTTCGCCCGTGCACGCTAAGTGACTTTCATTACAAGCATTTAGCTTTCCGAAGTCTATGACAACAATTGTTTGGCATTGACGGCCGCGAATTTCGTGCCAATAAGCTGCCTCGACTTGTTCGATTATGTTATTGACTCAATTTCATATTTATTTTCACATTTTCACTTTGTGGTCCTTTTCTGTTCTTTTTCCATTATTTACACATGTAGGTCATTTCATTGTTATCCACATTTGATATCATAATTTATCACATACTTCCATGACACTCTTGTCTGTCCGCTACAGCTGCCAAGAATTAACATGATTGGCGAAGCGTAGTGACAGCGGGCCAATAGAGAGCAGGATCCTTGCCATAATGCGGTTTGCGCGTCAATTTTCGTACGTGCGTTAATCGAGCCGAATAGTTTGGCCGAATATTCGGCTATTTGGCTACGCTCCTGGCCGAATATTTGGTATTCGGCCTGAGGCTGAATATACTATTTGTTACAACACTATTTATTACTAATAAATAATAATTTTATTTCATTGCTGTATTATACATTGTATATGAGAAAGCTAAGAAATCTGAGATTTTATTTTTTTTATAGATTCTACAAACTGAGGTGACCAATTATTTTTACTGACCAGTCAGTTATAAACTTACAACGGTTAGTGGACACTTTTTACTGATTTAAAATTATAAATTATTTATAAATATATAAATAATTTTAATAAGGTCAGATAGTTAAATAAGATTTTATCTCTGCCAAAGCTGATCTTGAAGATAAATTTAAAATTTTTTAAGCCATCACAACACAAATAAAAAAAAAAATTAAAAGAAACAGATTTAGGTGCAATCCTTAGCAAGATATTCCACTTCATTGTTTTCTTTATCTCTTCTAGCTAGATCAAACAGAAACAAAAGTGATCAGATTTTTTCAGTTGCTTTTCTGGGAGATTTCTTGTAATATATATGTAATATATAAAAAGAAAAGTTAGTTAGTTGGTTAGTTTTTAAAAATTTTGACACAGTTTGAGCAAATGCAATGAAAGTTTTCAGGAACCATCCTTTCATCCAAGAGGTTAATGATTACTCTGGTCAAATTAACTTCAACTTCCTGCCTGCAACAAGGCTATCCTTTCTAGCTGACCAGTGGAACAAAGGCATTTGAATAGTAAAATTACTTAATAAAGTTACAGTGGGCATGAAATATTTTTTTATGAAAACATAAACCAATAGAACTTAAACTGTTTTATATTCAGGGTGGCTTATCCAAATTTTATCAAGTAACTAAATGCAAAGTTGTAATGTTTAATATGACTAATATGTCACACCATTAAATTCTGCATCAATATGAAAAAATAGGTGAAAAAATACTAAAGGCAAGAGCTAAAACAAAACACATTGCTGAATTAATAGATTGTTACTCACTGAACCCATTAATCCAAATAATGTTAACTGTAATCCAGTCAAGTCAAGTGATCCAGAAAGATCAGTAGGATTTGCTGAAAAGTTTGGTTTATTGTTGTATGAGACTCCTAGGATTGGATTGACCACTGATCCAGAATTCTTTATGCATGGCATATTAGGTTCGGTTCTAACTTTACCTGATAGTGGACTAGTGGAAAAACTTGGTATCAATAAAGTATATGTTAAGTATACTATGGAAGATGTTGAGGGTGGTGAGCAAGTAAAAGGTGAAGTTAATGTAAAACTATGTTTTTCTCTTGAAAAAGATGGAAGAAAACAAGTAGCCCTTAGGGTTTTTGTAAATGATGAAATTACAGACGATAGGAATCCAGAATATAAGTATCATTATAGTGATGATGAACTTAAAGAAATAGAAAAAGAAACTAGATATTTCTGACATAGATAACACACATATAGATGAATATTCTTTTCATATGAGTACTGAATGTCATCCAGGGTTATTGAGACTATATAGACACCAGATAAATGAAGTAAAAGAAAAATTTAAGGCAGCAGCATCTTCTCAATCTCAGATTAATAATGAGTTTAAAGAGATTAGTACAGCTCAGTCTACAAATCTTGAAGATTCATTTAAAAAGCTTTCTGATGAAGATATAGAGGAAGTAGTAAATGGTGCAAGGGAATTGAATTTTTTGATAGATATATTGAGATATACAGAATATTTAAGGAAAATTCTCACTAAGCAACTCAAAAGCAGCATATTATGGATTCCACTATGGTGCTTTAGCATTAAACTTTAAATATCGCTATGGTCTTAACTGTTATGTTGAATGTATTGCAAGTAATGGCCATGCAGATCTAATACAGTAATACCCCAACTTACGCAAACCCGGAGTTACGCGATTTCAAATCTCGTCGATTTGTCTTTTGTTTGAGCGCCACGCAACCCTCGATTACTCACTCCCCTCACACTATTGTTCAGCTTACATGTTCGGATGTGTTGCGCGGAATCCACACATAGCTACAATTTATGTTGTGTTATTTATTTCTCTGTTTGTTATATCTATGGAGACTTGAGAGACTCTACTATGTCATCCAAACGAAGTAGAACTAATTCTTCTGCATCAAACAAGAAAAGAAAAACTTTATCTTTGGAATGTAAAGTTAACATTGGGTATGTTCATAAAGTCGAATGAGTTAAGCGAGAATGAAGTCATCATTATTCCTATTTTGTTAGTCTTTTTGAATGATTCGTTACTAACGTGTTTAACTCGTTTGACTTTACGAATGTACCCATTATTAAAGACTTCGATACAAAAATGAAAATTTGTGAATTGGCAAAGAAGTTTGATCTATCGGAATTGTCGGTCAGAACAATTATAAAAGGCAAAGAAAAAGTCTCTAAGCTGTGAAAAATGCTTAATCTTTAAATTCAAGCATCATTCGTAAACGTCACAGTATTATCGCTGAGATGGAAACAATGTTAAAATTATGGCGTAATAATCGAGTAAATGTGAAAAATTGTAAAATAATATAGGCCTAATTTGTTATACATATGTATTAGCTAAGATTTTATTAAACATTTTTTTCTAAATTATTGTTTTCTTTAGTCTCCAGCCCCAATTAAAAATTATTTGTATGTATTTATATGCAAAATTATACCCCGACTTATGCGAATTCGACTTATGCGGTTACCGCTCGGTTCCACCTATCGCGTAAGTTTGGGGTATTACTGTATTTATGTCACGCAGAAAAGATGCAAATGGTAGGATAAATCCTAAACCTATTTCAGTAGTTGTTGAGTTTAAATTAAAGGAGAAGGTCATACTGCTGATGAAGCTATAGCACAGATCAAGAACAAAGGCTACTTATATAATCTAAGTTTTAGAACTAAAGCAAAAAGTGCTCTGATAGTGGGGAGTAAGTTCTGCTAAGAGCGATACTTTACAAGTAAAATCAAAGGATATTTTTCAATCTAATTGGTTTAGTGCTTCAATTACTTGAAAGTGCTAGAGATTTTGATGGAGATGAAGCAAAAGAAAACTTAAACACAGAACTAAAATTCTTATATCACTCAATACATAGTAAAGATCAACACTATTTGAGCAAATTAGCATTAGAGCAGATTTTGGCTGCAGATGAGTCATTAGATAAATATATTTTTTGGTATAAAAATAGTGAAATAGGGAAAGAAGTTACCACATTTGTATTGAATCAAGAAGATAAAATCCAGTCAATAGTATTCAATATAATTGAACATACAGGAAGGGAACCCAAATCTGATCCACTTAGCAGAAATAGAGCTAGTAGAAGGCAAGGCAGCATTTTTGATAGCAACAGAGTTCCTCTAACTCAGTGGTTCTTAACCTTTTTATACTCGCAGCCCATCAAATATTTCATAATTTTTTTGTGACCCCCATTTTTTTAATAATAATTTATATTTGTTAAATTATCTATAATNTTTTTATATTTTGTATAACTGTATTTAAAGTATAAGTCATTGTAAAGAATATTGTATCTAAGCCCCGTTATGCGAAAGCGGTGCGGGGAAAGACTGATCCCCATTAGGGGAAATGATGATTCCCATTAAATGTATGTATACGTGTACGTTTGTATATATACTGTTTAAACAGTATACAGGATTGTGATTTGTGAACTATTAAATAATAATAAATAATAATGTATATCACCAACTATCCATCTATTGTTTGTTTTAATGTGTAGCGATCATCTGTTTATCAAGCCCAATGATCAATATTTTGTTATTAGGTCTATTATTCTATATTACAAAGTCTTTATAAAATAAGTTCAAAAAAACCTTAAGATCAGATATCACTTTATTATCAGCAGCTACCTTAACTGAATTAAGTAAAATTATCAGTAATAGAAATATAAATGCATATAAAAAATAAATGCATATACATATGCATTTATTTTTTAAGATACGCGATAATTCCTGAAAATTATAGAATATACAATATTAATTAAAATATAGAAGTACTGCTAAAAATAGTTTTATTGTTATATTATAATTTTCATTGAATAACAGATAGACAATGCCTTAATTTTACTCCCGGTCTTCAAGCTATAGTAGGAAAACTTGTATTCGCGGGGTCCAACCATTACTTTTCCGAAATAATTCCAGTCGACAGGTATTTGAAATGTTCAAATGGTACATGTTTTGCACAGTTTTATAGTTTAAATAAAATGATAAATTTTAAAATGTATCATATACGTCAGTGGTGCGCAAACTAGGGGTCGCGACCCCTGTGGGGGTCGCTAGAAGTTTTTTGGGGGTCGCCAAATATTTATGAAATGCATTATGCCTGCATGCTGCATACCATACAGTGTACATATAAAGAGTGAAGCGCCGTCACTCACTGTTTAATTGCGATTTCATGCAGAAGATTCAAGGATTTTCCTGAAAACGATCTTGGTTGGATTCGTGATCCATTTTCCTAAAACATATGCAGTTCAACTATTCAAATTAGTGAGAAAGAGCAATTGATAGATTTAATTAGTGATTATACTCTTCGAAATCAATTTAAGACTCAGCCTTGCCAAAAATTTTGGCTATCCGTGGAAAAGCAATATCCCGTTTTATGCAAGAATGCCATCAGGGTTTTAATACAATTTGCATCAACGTATTTATGTGAAACTGGATTTAGCAAACTAGTTTCAATAAAAACTAAATACCGCTCGCGTTTAAACCTTGAAGATGATATGCGAATTGCAATTAGCAACATACATCCAAACATCGATGAGATAATTAGAAACTTGCAGCCACATACATCTCATTAAAGGGAAATTTACTGATTTTTATGTTATACAAAAAGTATTTTCTTAAAATTATAAATAAAATTAATATGAGTCAGATATGATGATGTTTTTATTCGATGAAACGAAAGAAATGCGCGAAATATACATCGTATTTGTGAACATTTATCTCTAGGGGTCGCCAAAAATTTTCTCTCTACAAAAGGGGTCGCAGTCGAAAAAAGTTTGCGCACCATGGG